TAGGCATGCTTAGTATAGGTGTCAATAATTGGGGTGAAGGTATGTCAATAATTAGATCAATCAGTTTTTTAACCTGCCAATAATTGGTGTCTCCGGATAATCTATTTAATTATTTAAAATTAATTAGTAAATATCAGTGATTATCATTTTAAAAAATTTGATTAGTAAAAACATTACTTGAGACATTACCACAAACAAAATTCAACGATATTGATATTTGATTGCTTAAAAAAAATCAAATCATAACTTTGTCTCTTACTGTTAATAATTGGGGCTTTTACCTTACTTTATATTTATTTTTTTTTTTATTTTAATAAATCTGAATTTGAATTTCTTCTTAATTTTTCTAACATGTTATATTTAACATTTAATATAAAGAGTCAACTATGCCTCGGATTATTGTTACCACATAAGGCCTGTACAGTCCGTTATTTAAAATAATAAATCACTGGAATGTTTCTGCCGACTAGATTTTTTTTGCTGACCATTCAAAGTTTATACTTTCGCTAAAATATTCAGTGAAGCGAACAATCGATTGCTCCAACAAATTAAATCTAGTTCCAGCGCAAACATTTTTTTTTTCACAGTTCAAACGCCTCTAACATTTAAATCTACATATCCTCTATAAAATACCTCTTAAATAACGTCCTGAGTTTTTATTTGCGCTCTCGTTTTATTTCTAGCTAAAATGTTTCCTGTCAATATTATAGTCATTATAATTATTTTATTATTTTTTTTTAATTCACTAAATTCTTTGAAAGTAATTTTAAGTAATTAAATACGTCATATATAATCATAAATTTCTATTCAATTATTTTTTTTTTACATAACAGGAAATATTTTTGCATAGATATTGATATAGAATTTTTTTTTCTTAGTTTTTATTAATGTGCGATTTAATAAAAAAAAATAAAATTATTAAATAAATTGTTTTTTTGTCAAATTTTTTTTAATTTGTACGACTTTAAAATTAAATATATTTTAATTTTTTATTTTTTAATATAAATGCTACTGAACTTCTTTGGTTTAAAAAAAAAAATACCAATATTTAAAAAAAAAAAAATGTTTTAATTAAAATTTAAAATTGCGCGTTATTAAAATTTTAACGCTAAGCACCGTATGAAAAAATATTTTTCTATAAATTTTATTTTATTTATTTATTTATTGATCAGGTGTCTAAATATTTGTATTGCCGAGTGCAAACAAAACGTCAGAGATTCCAGCGAAATAAAATTTTAATTAATTAGTAATAATAAATTGAAAATTAATTTTGGAATGATTTGTAAAAATAAATATAAAAACGAGCACACGTAAAACCAACTTACAAAGTTTTACTAAAAAGCACTGAGAGCTACGCGATCAACAGTCCCTGAACTTGATGATCGGCGTAGTAAATTAATGTTTCTAATTAAACAAGATCATCAACTGCTGGTACCACGGCTCCATGATTGTTCTTTAGCTGAGGCGAATATTAAATAGACGAAATTTCCAGATAAGTTTATTCCTGCAGCTAACCAAAATACTGTGTGCCATCTTGATAGAGTTTCCTTGAGAAAAAAAAATTTTAATTAGTTTATTAATTAAAAAAAAAAATAATAATAGTGAATTTTTTATTAACTTGAATTATTATTAAAATTATAATTTAATAAGTAACAACTTTGCAGTCACTGTGTGACTGCCGTGAGTTGTGTACCGTAAATAAATACAATTTTGGTGTATTAAGTAATGACTTTAGTTAAATTGCACTGTACTTTCTTGAATATTGAAGTTTTTAAAGATATAAGCTCATCCCGACGTTACACTCATCAAGAGCTTTCATTTAAGTACCCACATGCATTTTTGATATATTTTTCATATATACGTATATATAATATATATAAATATATAAAATATATGAAAAATTGATGTGGGTACTCAAATGAAACGTCTTGATAAGTGTAACATCAGGATGAGCTTATATTACTAAAAATATCAATAGTTGACAAGATACAAGGTAATTTTTTAATTATTGACATTTTTTAAGATATAAACTCGTTTCGATGTTACACTCATCGAGACCTTTTATTTAAGTACCCACATGGCATTTTTCATATATTTTATATATATGGTATTTGTGAAATATATAAATATATAAAATATATGAAAAATTGATGTGGGTACTCAAATAAAAGGTCTCGATGAGTGTAACATCAGGATGAGCTTATATCTTTAAAAATGTCAATAGTTCACAAGATACAAGATCATTTCTTAATTATCTATCATATAAAATTAACTATCGGTAGGAATGTCGAGAAATTATTATTATTATTATTATTCATTTAAATTCATCTTTAATAATAATAATTGCAGAAAATTGAAACTAGTCAAACAAGTTACACAATAGATAATAAATAAAATAATGATAAAAAATAAAAAAAAATACTTACATGGCCTTCAATGAGTCGACCAACAATATAAGGAGCCAAGAATCCGCATGCGTTAGCGGTAGCATTGCTAATTCCATACAATGTACCCGCATACCGAGGAGCAAGTGCAATATGATTCATCTGATTGCCAGCATAAACAGCACCTTGCAATGAACCGAGTCCAGCGAGCATTATCATCAGCCAAACGCGGTCACACCCGGCCCAAATAGCACCTACGAAGCTCAGACTGACTCCAACAGAGCTGACAGTGTTCCAGAACTTCATGGAAGTTAGTGAGGACATAACACGCTTCTCCAGGAGCGAGTCCGCAAAATTACAGACTGCTAGCCCCATTATCCAGGCGGTCAAGTACGGGAGTGTCGAGAGAAATGCGTCTTGCTGTACGTCAAAGTGGAGAATTCTGTCCATGTAAGTCGGCAGCTCGGTCAAGAGGGTGTAGAAGGCCCAGGATTGTCCGCACTGGGTTATTGTTATCGCCCACATCGGGCCTGATGTCAAAATTGCTAGCCATGGTACGCCTCTGTCATCATCCTAATTAATCAATATAAATTTTAATAATTATAATAATAACATAATTATAATTTAAATTAAAAAAAATTAAAAAAAAATAATAATAATAAATCAAAACAATTATAATTGAAAAAATAACAAATAAATAATAATAAATGAATGATAAATAATCTAAATAATTATAATAAAATAATTAAGTCAGGATATAAAATATAATTACCGGATTTTTTGGCTCAACGCAAGCTTCGATGTATAATTTTTCTTGATAATCAATTCGAGGGTGCTCTGCTGGTGTGTTGTAGACGAAAAAAATCCAGAATATGTACCACATGATACCTAGAGTTCCAAATAAATAGAAAGCTAGTGGCCATCCACCCCAGAATTCCAATGAACATAGATAACCACTCAGTGGTAATGATATTACAGTACCAAAATTAGAACCTAAAAAAAAATTTACTCAGGTAATTTTTAATTTTAACAATAATAATGATAACTTTATCTCTAGATACATAATTAAGAGATGAGCTTGTATCTTGAGAAGTATTGACATTTTTAAAGATATAAGCTCATCCCGATGTTATACTCATCAAGACCTTTCATTTAAATACCCACATCATTTTTTCATATATTTATATATATCATATTATATATAGTTATATATGAAAAATATATCAAAATGCATGTGGGTACTCAAATGAAAGCTCTTGATTAGTGTAACATCAGGATGAGCTTATATCTTAAAAAATGTTAATAATTAAGAAATTACATTGTATATTGTGAACTATTGACATTTTTAAAGATATAAGCTCACCCCGATGTTACACTCATCTAGACCTTTCATTTGAGTACCCACATCAATTTTTCATATATTTTATATATTTATATATATGTATAAATGAAAAATATATAAAAAATGCATGTGGGTACACAAATGAAAGCTTTTGATAAGTGTATCATCAGGATGAGCTTATATCTTTAAAAACGTCAATATTTAAGAAAGTACAGCGCAATTTAACAAAAGTTACTATTTAATAAAGCAAAATTTTATTTATTTATGGTCCACAAGTCACGGCAGTCACATAGTGACTGCAAGGTTACTAGGTATTATTATCATAATTAAAAAATTCAATTATTAATAATAATAATTTTTTACATTTATTTTTTCTAAAGACTGGCTTATAATATTCTTATAGATATTTTTCTGATCCAGGTTCGAGTCCTGGTCTGGGCCGTCCGAATTATTTTTTCAGTCAAATTTATCTTTAATGATAAATTTAGATACGAATTTGAAAATAAATTGTCTATGCCTGGAGGGAATACAGGCTAACAAAATTATGAATAGAGAAAAAATTGTTGTATTAGACTGGATAGCTAATAAACTGAAAATTTGCAATGACTTACTTCAGAAAAATATCTATAAAAATAATAATGATGAATTAAAAAAAAAATTATTATTATGTTTTAATCACCTGCGTAAACTAAAGCGGCAAATTTACTCCTCTCCAATGGCGGGACCCAGTGAGCAAGCATTGAATGCATAGCAGGAAATGTTACACCCTAAAAATAAATTTTTTATTTATTATTTAAGTACTGAAATTTATATTAAAAATTTGTTAATTATCAAAATTTTTATTTAATTAAAAAAATTTTTTATTTCACCGTAAACCAACTATAAAAATTACCTCAGTAAATCCTTCAGCAATCCTGACCGCTAAAAACGGACCCAGACCCCAGTAAGCAGCAAAAGGGCTGACAACAGTTAATATAGCAGTTAATAACACCCCCAGCCCATAAACCAATTTGCCCCCAACTTTCTCCGCCATCCGTCCACCCGGAACATTCGTGATGACATAACCGAGGAAGAACGAACCCAGAATTATCCCCTGGGTCTTGTCATCCCAATTAAATTCTCCTGGACTCTGCAAAAAGTAAATATTAATTATTTAAAAAATTAATTTTTTCTATGAAAATTACAGTGGATTTATTCTCATATAATATGACTAGATATTTAATACTAGAATCCGGTAAGATAAACACGTGAGTCATAGATAAAAAATAATCGAATGTATATTCACAATCAAAACCTTCAAACGATTAAATTACTCGATTAAAATACAATTGTAATAATTTATTATTTATTTTTTTGACTTACAGGCACAAATGTACCATTTACGGGAGTAATTTTTGGACAGACATCGGAGGTATCATTCCCGTCATTGTTATCAGGAAAGGCCGTCTGGTTAACCATCGACACTATGGCAACCGAAAGATTCACTCGCATAGCATAGACAAGCGCGAATCCAAGAAATCCTAAAAATCCTAGCGTATATCTTGCTTTTACAAAGGATTTTGTATCTTCTGGTATTTGCCTGAGTGTCGCTGTAATGAATAATAATTAATTAGTCATATTATTAAATCTGAAAATTTTTATTTTTAAAAATGATACTAAATTTAGGAGATATTTAAAAGGTTTTTATATTTTTATAACAATTAATTAAATTATAATGAAGAATAAATTGAGTAGAAATTAAAAAAAATTATAAGTGCAATTTTTTATAATTGATTTGCAATAAAAATTTCGATAATTATACTGAAATAAAAAGTTCTTGGAATTTTTATAATTATCCAATTACTATAAAAAAAAAATATTGTAAAAGATGTTTACTAATAATTAATAAATTACCTTGTATCTTGTAAACTATTGACATTTTTAAAGATATAAGCTCATCCCGATGTTACACTCATGAAGACCTTTAATTTGAGTATCCACATCAATTTTTCATATATTTATATATATTATATATACATATATGTATATATGAGAAATATATCAAAAATGCATGTGGGTACTCAATTGAAAGGTCTCGATGAGCATAACATCGAACTGAGATTATAACTTAAAAAATGTCAATAATTAAGAAATGACATTGTATCTTGTCAACTATTTACATTTTTAAAGATATAAGCTCATCCTGATGTTAGACGCATCAAGACCTTTTATTTGAGTACCTACATCAATTTTTCATATATTTTATATATTTATATATATTATATATATATA